CGAGCAGGAGTGGCGGTGGCACCGTGTTCGGAGGCGGCAGGACAGGGGTGGCGGGGGGGTTAGGGGCTGAGAGAGGGTGGCAGGGGCAGGCCGGGCTGGGGCAGAGCGCCTGTCATTCTCAGGGTCCTGGGAACTCAGGCGTGGGTTTGGGCAGAAGAGTGGGTGACAGGACCTGAGTCACGGGTCACAGAGGTCGCCTGGCTGTGGCCAGGGCCACGTAAGGAGGGAGGGGGCGGGAGGTTGTGGCTGAGATGCCGGGCGGGGGTGGGAGCTGGGGCCTGGGAGGTGGAGAGGGCGAGGGGAACCACTGGGACTAAAGGAGATTGGTGGGGCCGTGAGCGCGAGATCCCCGCACCTGCTGGTAGTTAGCGAGCCCGCTGGGCGAGGCACCATCTCCTGCCTCTTCCTCCTCACCACCCCCTCGCCTCACCCAGGACCAGGCCTGGGACCGCTTCCTGGGAGAGGCACGCAAGGGCTGCGCTCCTGGGCTGCAGTGGCCTCTTCTGTGGGCAAAGCCGCCAGGACAGCCTGGCCGGCCCTGCGGGACACCAGCCCACACCCAGCCGTCTCCGCGTCCACTACGTCACGCTCGCCCTTCACAGCCCAGGAACAATCACCAGGAGCGTCACGACTCGTTTTAATCTGTCTACCACTCTCGTTAATGACGCCTGTTTAAGACACCCATTAAGGGCCCATGCGGGTAATTAAATGGACAATTCCAGTACGGTCCTACTAGAAGCCCCTCGATTAAGTTAATATTAGAGGCACTTAACAGATGTCTTAATTAGGCATTACAGCGACGAAACACCAGCGCCATGAGAACGCGCCGCTGTCCAGAGAGAGCTCTTTCCATGCATTTACGGCGGCGGCCACGTTTACTCTCAGAGCCCACGTGAAGCCGAGGATCTTTCCCACACCCGGAAGCGCTGTCCCAGCCCAGACGCCCGAGCTGGAGGGACGTCAGACACCATCTGGAGCCCACGGTCCCCAAATGTCAGTGACAGAAGAGCAGCTGGGCCTCAGAGGACGCGAAGCTTCCGGGGGCCCTGGGGTCCCCCTGCAGCCCAGGACCTGGATGCGGTCACGTGCACCCCGAGATCCCGGGGCAGGAAGTCCCAGGTGCCTCTCCAGGAACCCCCCATCGTCTGCTGGCCCCACTGGACAGAGGGGGACACTGAGGCCCCGGCTTCAGGACAGTGCATGGCCTGGGGACCGGAACTTTCCCAGCAGCTCTCCCTCCCACTAGGCAGCAGAGCCTCCGCGTCTCCTGGGGGCTGGGGACTGGCAGCCAGAGCCCACGCCCCTGCCCACCTCTCCTCCTGCCGGCCCGAGCCCAGTGGGCAGGTGACTGCCCGGGTCCTCGATGGCTCTGC